TCCAGTGTTGCGGCACACTGGGGGTAGATGTTGCAGCTCCTTCGGGATAAGTCAACTTGCAATTATGTGACTGGATTTGAAATCAAGGCTTTGCTATTATTATGGAAAGCTTTGAAAGACTCTTGCATTTGAAATAAAAGTAGCCCTTCCACAGAAAGAGATGTTATACATTTTCTACGCGACCAAATTAATCTACTTAAATTGCTCTGCACAGTTCGCCCTTCTATAAATAACAATACCTTCCACTATCCCCTTTTGTGAAATCAAAATGCTGCTTTAAAGTGTTCCCAATGAGAGTAATCTGGTTTGCTTACTTAGCTCATGATTCTTTGATGACAAGTAGTCTAAGCTTTGTGTGATGGGAATATATTCACCTGCTACAGCTCACTTCTTCCAAACCTTGAAGCTCTGTGTTTTTTGGCAGACTTCTCTGAAATACAAAACTTCTTACACTCTTCAGCAGAAAACAATATCAGCTCCAGGCAAAGTTAGAAAATAAAATGACATCAGTTCGTCCAGAAGAATCTGAGTGTTTTCACAGATGAGGCTCTGCAAATTTAACATTTCATTTCACTCTCTGAGCTCAGTTCCTGAGTGCCATCAGTCCCTGCTCCCTGCTCCTGTCCAAGGATTTCTTTCTCACCTGCACATCTGTCCAGCACATGCACACCCCAGCCTCCTCTCAAATTTGGTGCCACCTGGAACAAATTGCCAAGATGTCCCTCACCTGCCAACAGCAAAGAGCTGGTATTGATGACAATAGTCAATCAAAAATTGTCCTAATTTTCTTTACTGTCTATTTTTTTAACTAGAAGAACAGTTCTAGGCTGCCTAAATAGAAACCATTATCATTCTGACTGGAAATAACCTACTATAGACACCTTTTATTGTGTATGAATGTTTCCTTCCTATGGGAATAAAAAAAACATTCCTTCCTTTTTTTCCCCCTACACTTAATTGAGCTGATCCTGTATGGAATATTTCCCTATTTCTCTCCTGTTCTTGGATTATTGATTTGGACTTGTTTGGTCCGTCTTGTTATATTTTACAGAGTGAATGATAACCTGAGAAATTATTGAAAAGATCAGGGCACTGCCTCCTGAAAGAGAACAAAAACTGAACTGCTTTCAGTATAAAATAACCTAAAGCACAACTTTTTAGAAAAATTGACACTGATGAAATAAATAAATACAGAAAATTATACTAGAGGCCTCAGTCATCATATTTACAGGAAAATATGAGAGGCTGAAACAAACTTCTCTGCATTCCATGCCAAAAGGATTCCTACTCATTAACACATAGAAATGCTGATGGATAATTAAGTAATTTGGGAGACAGACCATGCATATGGGAAGCATTTTTGGTATTTTATGACCTCTTTCACTGACCTATGTAATTACTGTGCTGCTGACTAATGCAGCAACATAAACCATCTGTCAACATCTATATTATGAAGTTTATTTAAATTCTAAATGACCTTTCCTTTTATTCCTTACACTGGGATGAAAACCATGTTTGTTAAATCATTTTATTCCCGCCAGTGCTCCTAAAGAGAAAAAAGAATATGGACACTTTATTAGGTAATCAATTTCTAAGCCACCTCCAATCTAGTATAGAAAACAAAGCCAACTCATATTTGGCAAGAACAATTCATGTCAAACCAATCCAATTTCCTTTTCTGACAGGGCAAATGGCTCAATGAGTGAAAGAAGCAGCAGATGTGATATTTTTACTGCAGTAATATTTTAATGTGTGGTATTTTTAGAAATAATGCTTAGAAATAATGAGATTTTCTTAGAATACATGGATGGTGTCACCTTGTGCTGCAGCAGAACTTAGTAGGGGACAAAAAGGGTGTTCAGGGAATAGTGGTTAATGATTTGTTCTCTGGGAATAACTCCCTGGGCACTGCATAAAAATGGGACTTGCCTGACTTCCTAAACTCTCCTGTCATCAGGCACTGGCAGTGAAACCCTTTTGATACAATACCCATAGTAAGTATACAATTTCTTGTGATGTCTTTTTCCTCTGAAATGAACTGAACTCAAGCTCTTCAGGAAGGAATTTATTGAGATCTACCTTTAAAGTTGAGCTGACTCACTAATTTGACAGGGATTTGAAAAGTAAAGCTGAAAGATAGTCCAGACAGAAACCTGAGACATTCATCAGAGTAGGAAGATCAGGATGGGCACCTGAAGAAAAGAATTTGGCCAACCAGGCTGGTTTAGGAAGGCAGTGATGTGACAGGGGCAGTTCAAACCCTGGCACAGGAACCTGTGCACTCAGAAAAAGTTCATGTTTAAGTCATACAGATTGCAGGAATATGAATCTGGAATATGAAATCAAGAATAGGTGATTATAATTACACACTCCAGTTTAGGACAACATTTAATAACTTGCAGGTACTTAAACACTTTCTTGACTAAATACAAACTGTTGTTTCCTGCATTAGGGATTATAACTTAAGGTCACGGTTGGGATTTCAGATCTAAGTGATTGCAAGTAGGTCTCAGATGAAGGTCTAGAAGAGGGATTTAGATGCTAAAAGAGCTTTTAAAATCTGAACCTAAAAGAAGAAAGCATTTCCTTGATCAATATGAATCTATAAACAGGAGCAGTGTGTAAAGCTCATAGATTGGACTCATTCTTGAATATGATCCTCTCTGGAAGAAATTGGACTTCAGCTGGAGGAAACCTGTGGCTCAGCAAGCCAGAGATATCTGCAATTGTCAGTGCCTTCTGCAGAACACCCAAATGCCCCCCATTCCTCTCCAGCCCTACCCTGCAGCATTAGCTCTTGCCAAATCCAGACCCTGCTCACAAACTCTGTGTGGCAGCTAGCAGGGGAGAAAACTGCTCACTGGAAAGGTGACTGAAACACAGGCAGACTTTAACAGTACAGGTAACAGCAACTGAAACACAGCCTGATCTAACCAACAGGACAAGTGACACTTGCCAAGTGACAGACAGAACCCTGTGGATTCCCAGCTGTCCCTCCCTCTCCACGCCTCAGCCAACCCATCTCTTCCCCTCACCAAGCACTCCCAGCAGCTCACCCGAGCCACACCCATGGATGTGGGCTCCTGCACGTCAGGAGAAGGTGATTCTCTCGAGCAGGAGGTGTTTGGGCTGCATGAGCACCAGTGTGAGCGAGCAGAGGGAGTGGGACAAGCTGGGACAGCCAAAGCTGTGTGGGGCAGAGCTGCTGCTGAACCCTTTCCCCAGCCTAACACACAGCTCTGCAATGCTTATTCACCACCTCTGTGCCACTCTGGGAACACGTGGAGTGATGGGATTCCATGGGTTATGGAATATGAGCCCAGGCATGCAAGTCCCAATTATCATGATGCACCTCTAAGTTAAACTGTTTACACCGAGAGATGTTTCACTGGATGGGGAGGTGCAGGTGCTTTGCGGCCAACAGAGAATCTCAAAGGGTGGAAGCTGGCCTGGGCCTTTGCTAGGTGTGCTACAGGGCTAAAAAAGGGGTGTAGTTCCCAAATGGTCAGTTCAGCACCATTCCTGAGCTTGACACTCACTTTAAATTAGCATGCAATTTAAAAATAAGTATTGCAAATGAAGGTTATCTTACAAGGAACATATAATTTACATTTCTAAACTCACAGTCTTTGTTTTGATGTAACCCGTGAAGTTCCTGCTCTGCAAGGCCAGTGGACATTGTTTATTGCCTTTCATCTGTATCAAGGTGATCTTTTTTATCCTTCATTGTACTTTGGAAAAGCAATTCCACAGGACAAGAACCCATCTTAAATCTTTGGTGCTCATGCCAAGGAGAAGGTGAGAGCCCTGACAAGCTGTGAGATTCCTTTTAGCACCAGGAGTTGTGTCATTCATCCAGAGACCCCTGACAGTCACCTTGAACATTACGTGCCCTCGCAGTGGTTTTTTAATCCTATAGATGTTTAAAGAAATGCTTCTATTTTCTTTGATCTTCTGCAACCATGCCTGTATTACCATACACAATGCTGACAGAAAGACACTGGGTAAAATGGTTATTTTTAGAATTTCCTCACTTCATAAAACACTACAATAGCTAGGATGCCACAAATAACTCACGATGAATTCTTCTTATAAGCAAACAGAGGAAGTGTGAGTTTAGGAAGAGCAAGGACTTCAGAAGATGCAATTTATTAAAATACTAGATTTAGTAGTGTAAGCAAAAATATGTCTAGAAATCCTGGTTTTGCTTTGGGTCAGTGAAAATATAAACTAGATTTTATTCCATAGATCAGTCTGAAACTTGGGCAGAAATGACTAACACTTAATACCCACCAGTGAGTCCAAGTTTGGTCTGAGATACAAAAGTAACAAAAGCAGTGGACCATTAAATTTGTGACCAACTTTCTGACTTCTGGAAGGATTTGTTTATGCTATTACAAAAGTGGGGTTCAGTTGGCTGGTGTTTTTTGTTTGAGACTCCCACTCTGTTATTTTGTGGGTTTAGGAACATTTCCAGCTTCTCTCCTCTATTACCTGTTCTCTCAGTGGAGAAGCAATAAAGTCACAGCAAGTTTCAAACCACTGGCCAGAAGTTGTCCTGGTGTGCTTTTCCCCAGTTCCTAGAACAGGCTGAAGAGCTTTTATACAGAATGGAAAGTCAGCCATCTGATTACAGCTGGCTTGGGATGGCACCTAAGGACCAGGAAAGGCAGCAAGAAAAGTAAGTGTGTTGGAAATGGTTTCTGAAGGACTGTCAGCAGTTTGTGTTGGGGCTTTCCTGAAGCATTACCATGCTTGTTGTGTGTCTGAGGAGTAACTTCAGCTCTCTGTAGATCCGCACCATGACTTTGGCCTGGAAGACTCCCAGATCTCCTAAAGACCCCCATAAGGAAAATGGATGAGCAGCTTCTAATTTCCCTCTGGCCAGATTTTACAAGGTGTTTTGGAGACGTCTAATAAGCCTCCACCAGAGATTCTCCAACTCACTTGTGCCCCAACACTGTGATTTTATAGGCACTTTTTGTCAGACTCCAACCTACCTGTAGTGCTGCAGTTGTGATTCCAGCTGCTGGATGTGTATTTGCAGATGTGGCACCTCCTTAGCTCTCGCTTCCAGCTCCTTCACTTTGCCAAGACTGTTGAGGACAGCGTGTCTGGCCTCTTCCAACTTCCTCCTCATCTCTGCCTGCTCCCTCTTCAGGTTACGGTTGCAATCTTCCAGGCTGACCAGAGCTTCCTGAGAGCTCTTCAGCTCCTTCTCCAGCTCCTGACTGAACCTGATGGCTTCTTCAATCTGCCCATCCCTGGAGCTCCGCATGAGCTCCATTTCCTCCAGGACATTTTGGAGGCACTTGTTCTGGGAGTGCTTCTGTGTTAATGGTCTCTTCCTCCCTATGAAGCAGGGACCTTCTCCTGTATGGCTGGCATGGCTCTTCCGCAGTCCCACCTGTAATGACCAGGAGCACAAAGCAGGGAGAAATTGATGGGTTTTAACGAAGACTGAAAGTGGCTGGATTCTGCTTTGTTGGTTTGGTTTTTTTCAATCACATAGAGCTGATCAGCAACTAAAGCTACTTGACCTTTGCCAAATACAGAGACAAGGAAACAATCTCTGGAAAGTAATTTTTAATACCTAGCTATGCATTTAATTTTCAATCTACACACTTATCATGTTATTGCACAAGTTTCTGTGTAGCTTTCGTGTCATTACTATGGTCTATACTCAGGAGTGAGGCAGTCTGCTGAAAAAGATATTTCCAATGAAGTTGTGTTCAGAGGAAGAGAGCAGGGAGAAGCTGGGGGCTCTGGAGCTCTCCTCTTTGTCATTTTCATTCTTCCTGGGACTACTGGGACTGATGACTTCGTGTTTGCTGCTGATTTCCTTTCCCTTTTTTAGATGAAAATGGTAAAAGTGTCTCTGACCTGCCTTGCTGGACATTGTGAAGACAACAGTCATCTACTGCAAGTGGAAGTGTCACAGGTGGAGCAGAGTTCTGGGAGTGCTGTGTTAGTATAAAATCACACCTGGTGAGACCTGCCAGAACAATGGGTCCCTGCTGCCCTTCCCTGCTCTGCCTGTTCCAAGCTATTTCATGCCAGAGGAATTTAACTGCTGTTAAGCATGTATGTGTGTCACTCGAGCCAGTCCACCAGAACCAGCAGAATCCAGCCCTGGAATTAATGGGGCTGTGCAGAGAAGCCCCACACTATTCATCAGGCTGCCTGCAGCACTGGCTCAAACTCTGAACGCTTGTGACCACACTCTGAGGAAAACATCCTTCTAGTATTTCTTATAGGCACTTCCGACAGAGACACTGCTTCTGCTTGTGCAGGTGGGAATGCAAAAGTTCTTTCTCACTTCAGGAAAACGCCAGTAGGATGTGCTGATACCATACACCCAGCATATGGTATCAGCACATCCTGACTGCTCGTGCAATAGAAGAAGCAGCAGTCTTGTACGCGTGGGTTTGTTAAGCTGAACTCCGCTACACTTTTAACAAGAGTGCTCCTCACAGCTATATTTAATGGTACACCGGTGCCATACATTTCTCCTTAAGGCCTCCCTGTAAGTGAACTTTGCTAAAAAGGTAATGCTGAGGACGAAGGAGCAGCTTCGGTCTCAGTGCGGCAGCGGAGGGGTTATAAACACTGACTCTCCCAGCATCTCTCCTGAAGCACTCGGGGCAGCCGCGCCGCCCCCGGGAG